GTACTGCTCGCTCCTGAGGGTCTTTTCAATAGGTTTTACGTAACCAGTTCCATGAAAAGAAAAAGATCCCCAGAGCATTATACTGAACGGATGCTTGACAGTACTTACTGCTAAATTCAAAGAGCTTTCAAAGCTTCTTCTTTGGATTTTAGATCGCTTATCCTTTGAATTTAGCTCAACTTTCGTCTCATCGGAGAAGACAAGATTTAGTAAAAACAAATCAGGTGACTCACTTTTATCGAACAGCACTGTATATCTTTTAGAAACGGATTTATAGGATCTAGTGTCCTCTTCTTGTTGCTTATAAACACTCCGCGTTGATCATTGTATCATCCAGATATTTCCAGTTTACTATCATATTTCCAACTAAACCAATAATAATTAAAAAATGTCCGGTTTAACATTTCGAAATGTTTATACATTCTTTTTACAATGTCTTAAAATAATTGTCCACATATCCATTTCATAATATATATAAATACACACACACACACACACACACACACACACACACACATATATATATATATATATATATATATATATATATATATATATATATATATAATTTGTGTGTGTGTTTATATATATTAATATTGAATTTGATACAAGGCCACTAAAATCCATACAAAAAAAATATGCAGCATAAAAATCAGCTATGCTCAATGCTTTCATTATCTATTTTATCTACTAGTGAACTTCAGTAAAAAAAGTAATACAAATTTGAAACTATTTATTTTAGAATTTCACGTAACCAAAATATAAGTGCCATTGTACGCATGCGTATAATTAACCGTCTCTCATGTTCATTTGATATCGAAAATATGAATAAAACAAACATTACATAACCAATTTTTATTATCCTTACAGTTATTGTTAAATACAATACATTATTATAGTTATTCTCTTATTATTTCACACTTTATACATAACAAATGAAAGTGGCGATTACTCTATTATGACATAAGCATCCCCACATAATTAAGTAATTTACATGTTTTTCTGAGTAAAAAAACAGAACTCGTTTCATGGTTGCTGTAGCCTACATGCGGACTATAACTGGTACGCCCCTAATCACATAAATACAGTAGTAAATACTGTATGTTGGTCTGCACTTGAAGATTCGTCACAAGCTGTGCTGGTCAAACTCTTGAGCTAGAAGATATCAGTCTATGTTAAATGTATGGCCTGAGGATCAAGAGTTTAATTCTTGTAACAGCCAGTGAAATTCATGTATCCTTGATCTGAGGAACCGACAAAACAGATATATTCACTGACACAAGATGTTGCAGTCAATATAAGAGAAGCCTCTCGTGTCTCTGAATTAGTTCATTGAATAAATGGTTTGGTTCGAAGATGGTTCTTTATTATTGACTATAACTGGTAAACAAATGACAAATGGTACTATAGTCAAAATGTTATAAATACAGCAAAAAAAAAAAGACAAAGACACCAGTCCAGTATTTATAATAAATCACTAAGTTACTATATAAAATCGTATATGTTCATGTTGTTTGTAAATTTTTCATTTAAGGTTGTCTTATTAGAATTATAAAAAAGAAACTGAAAACAATATCAACAACCAAAGCCCTGATGACAAAACCGTCTACACATAATCGTCATTTGCTGCCTAGTCAAATATTTATAGCTTTGTTTTGAATAAACATCGTATCGGTGACAGTTTAAAGAGACAACAGCTAGAGGATGTCGTTGAAGATATGTCTAGTTTTGGCATCAATGGCCTTACGAAATGAGTAACACATCTGTCAGTTTGCGTGCATATGTGTATGTATGTGTGTGTTTACGTGTGTGTATGTGGGTGTACCTGTGATTGTTCAAAATGCACATTTTATATGATCTGTTTTTCGTTCACTTATTGTGTTAGAATTTTTGAGAATCAGTTATTAACAAGAAGTAGATGTTGTCTATATAGTAGACAAGGTTCATTGCCTATTTCCTACTTTTTTGTGGAACATTACATTTCAATTTGTAGTTGTGTCCAGTTCGCATATTAGTATCCGAATCAAAAGTGAAGAAAAGGTGGAAAAGGCATAAACGACGCGTTTCGCCGAGAACGTCAACTCTATCGGACTTCATCTGGTTAGAAAGAAAGAAAGACATAATCCCATGTAAAGACAATGCGTTGTGATCTCTGAGCTTAACTGGTGACCATAAATTAAATTAACTTATCTCATCCGATGACCACCCATCGGGGTTAAAAATATCGAAAAATCCATATACCCTCGTAACAATATATCATTGAATAATTATATAACTTTCGAAAAGAACAACTATAACGAAGGAAAGGTAGATAATAAAAAAATATAACTGCCGAAATAATATGAACTGTCCCTTAAACGGCCAATGTTTGACTAATAATATTGTTTATAGAGCTAACATACAATCGGATTAAGAAAATAAATTTTATAGTGGGTCAACTGAAATGCATTGGAAAAATCGATTCTATAATCATAAACTAAATTTAAGTAACGTCAATTATAACAATAATACTGCTCACTCTAAATATTACAGGCAAATGAAAGATCGTAGAAACATACCAAAAATTACGCAGGAAATAATGGCAAGAACTCAATCTTACAGTGGAAAAGGCGATATATGTAAATTCTGCCGCCATTGAAAAATTAACTCTTCCCCAAAAAATAAATAATAAATAACCCTAATTTACTAAAAAAATAAGTGAATTAAGACGTAAACCAAATACCTCTTGAAATATTATATCATGCATGAAATTCAGAGTTGTGTTGGTGTCGATGAAAAAGAATATTTATTATTAATATAAATTATTGTTTATTAATTATTTGCTCTTTAATAATAAATACATTGATCTCTTTTTGTTGATCAGTTTTAAAATTTTATATTACTAGAATGCACTTGAATTATATACTAACAGATTTGTTACCTTTACTCTATATATATATATATATATATATATATATATATATATATATATATATATATATATATATGTATCTAGTATATATGTATATAGGATAATCACAAAATAAGGTAAAATATTTACTTATTCAACATGCGTATTACAAGTACTAGGTAATCTCACATTTACAGAAATTCTATTATATAGTTTCAACGTATTGTCGATCGAGATGTATTTTTACCTTCTCGAATAATAATGGGCCAAGCAACTGGATCTATGTTTGCCCTTATGCAGCAAAAACATCATTTTTGTAGAGCTTCTTTATCACATCTATATAGGCGGACATACTATTTACAGTCAGCGAAGAAATTTATGCCAACTGTGTTCTGGGGTGAAAAAGGTGGACGTCTTTTTGAATTCTTATGTCCTGTATACTGTGACACACTGGACATATTGAAGTTATCGTTACTCGAAAGACACCAATGTGCTACCCTTCTTGCACAACAACAACCTATACAAGGCCAACTTGACTCCAGGGATGATTTTGGGACATCTCTTAAGGTAAATATATATAAGTGTAACTGTATATTAACACGTCATCACTTAAGCTTCACTAGTTTATATCCCTGAGTAAATAAAATGTTATAGGCATATTCTAGGTTTGCATATACCCAATCTAAGTTCGGGGCATGGCCCAGTACCAGAAAATATGAAAAGCTATCTATTGACTTATCAAGAAATATAACCTATTATTCTAAAAGCCATTTGTATACTCTAAACAACTTTACCTACTGTTACTCAATAAACTATATTAATTGAACATATCTTTGTTTTCATAAACCTGATTATTGTTTCACGATGTCCAATCAGAGATTATTTCTAGTTTGTAGACTTGAAACTTCACATAACGTTGACGTTAAGAAAAGTAATTGTTGTAAAAAAACTACAGATGTACAGGTGAGATTTGGCCATTTTATAGAGCAATATACGAAGTAGGCTAACCCCAATCCTATCTCGGCTATTTGGGGAAAACTGTTCGGAGAATGTAAATTATGTAAATAAGAGACAGAACATTTAGTTTAATTGTAAGGTATAACATAATTAAGGGAGGCTCGGTGGAGTAATGGATAGCGGCTCGGATTGAGGAATCAGAGAGTCGAATCCATTACCTTCACTTACGTGTTAATAGCCTTGGGAAAGTTAGTAAACCTTTTCTCCCATCTGCTATGGGCAAATAGCTGGACAGACCAGGTTTTATAGCTTTGGAGGGCAACTGGTCTACCTACGTCAGTCATGTATCGAAAGATACATGATCGCCTAAGAGTGTATCGCTCATGGCACACACCTGACTGAATATAATTAAAATATATATTACGTTATTTTACCGTGGCATCTTGCCCCAAAATATACTTTTCTTTTAGCACTAAGCGAAAGAACTATAAAATAGCTTGATTAAATAGTCAAAAAATATATCTAGGATAAAATTAGACCCATTTATATATAAGAACAAATCTTTCAGTTTAAAACGGACTGTACGACAAAATTATAGTTCAGAAGAGGAATTCTCCAGGTGTAACAGCCCAGATAAACCCCTTTCCGGTTTATAGTCTTCTTGTCATGTGCCGTCTCCCCTCAGGACGTAGAAGATCATGGCTCTTCACATCTTCCTGTCCATTGCAGCCCTCAACCAAATTTGCCTGTTATTTCTCCTAAACGCTACTTCGTCATCCTTTTACTCAAGCTTGCAAAGTTTGCTGTGTTGTTTTCTTCTGTCTTTCTTGCCTTCAATTTGTCCTGTGAGTATCAGATTTTCCAAGGCCTCTTTCCTCAGTATGTGCCCCAGAAACCTCAGCTGACACTTCCTGATGTTAAGTATAAGTTTGCTTTTCGTTTCCATTTTCTCTAAAATTTCGTCGTTGCTCATATGGTGATTATCCAAGACCGAACGTTTGGAGCACCCAGTGAGGATCAAAATCACTTCTCAGTCGTAACTGATCTATCGTAACAAGCTTGCTAAGGATTACACAACGTTCGGTCTTTGGTATACTCAGCATTAGTCCATGATATACTCAGCATAGTTACATGTGATACTCAGCATCGGTCCATGATACACTCATTATTAGTCCATGTTATACTCAGCATCGGTCTATGGTATACTCAGCATATGTCTACGATATACTCAGCATCGGTCCATTGTATACTCAACATCTGTCCATGGTAAGGTCAGCATCTGTCCATGGTATGGTCAGCATTTGTCCATGGTATAGTCAGCATTTGTCCCTGGTATACTCAACACTGGTCCATGGTATACTCAGCATCAGTCCATGGTACAATCTTCTCATAGGTGAAGAGACTTGCGGCAACAGAAATGCTGAGTATACCATGAACCGATGCTGAGTATACCATGGCATCTGCCCATGGTATGCTCAGCATTTCTGTTGCCACAAGTCTCTGCACTTCTGCGGAGATTGTCTAGCACTCACCGCCATATAGTCAGGTAGAGTAGAACCATCCAGAATAATAGCCGAGATATGATTAGGGTTAGATTACTTCGTATATTGCTCTATAAAATGGCCAAATCTCACCTGTAAATCTGTAGTTCCCATTTTACAACAATTACTTTTCTTAACGTCAACGTTATGTGAAGTTTCAAGTCTACAAACTAGAAATAATCTCTGATTGGACAACTTCATCAGAAAAGAAAAAAAGATTTTATTTAAAAAAAAAATCGACTAGCGAAATAAAACGTCATTTACGTTAGTCATATGAACTCTGGGTGTTTTTGTTTGTTTTTGTTTTTTTATCTGTCTATATTTCTGAGTTGGGCTATCATATGTTTTTTACATTGTTCAGAGAGTTGTCCTCATTTTCATTGACATATTCACGACGTTTCAGTCGTTGTAGGCTCCGGCCTTCGTCAAGGGATTTGAATTTCGAACTGAACCCTGTATTTCGTCCACCGTGGCAGATTGTTGTAGTCCACATGCCATGCCTCTTCCGGACGTCCAAGTATCAAATATCTTCCTTTAACTCAACTATTTCCTGCTGTAGCTAGGTATTGAACTCACTATTCTTTGGGTTAAGTCACTAGATTAAATCAACGCTTTTCTCTACTGGACCATGCGCCCTTGTTTTTTTTTTAATTGAAATGTATTTTTTTTAGATCAGTTTTACTATATCTAAGTAGTTCTTATACTTTTGTTCTTTTACAATTTTTATTGATATTATGAACAAATTCATATAATGAGATGAAAACTAAATCATTTCTTGTTTTTTTTTAATTTGAAAACATGTGTAATTGATTAATAAAAAAGTACTTTTTCCCTTTTTCATGGAAGCACGTTTTTTAAATTTAATCTTAATATTTAGAGTTTTAGAAGTACAATAAAAAATATCAGGAAATGTTAATACATATTGATCGATCTATCTCTCAAGCGATACATATTGATTTTAAACGTTTTATTATAGCATTAATCTGACCGTTTCAGTTAAGCTCAAAATAATTCTCTCTTTATAATAGCTCATCAAAAGAGATGAACACATCAGTTTTAAATGTTTTAACCCACTCTTTTAGCTAGATCTACTGATTAAATACTATTCTTTATTACAAATTTGTTCCAAATTTACTCTCATTTTAATGTTATATACAGATGGTCTCTTGTCTTCTGCCGAGGGTTTATAACTTCTATTATTTTACATGCACCAATCCTTGTCTATGTTGCTTCATTTGATCGGCAGATGGCGTTCGTCATCATAATTTTCTTCGTTCTGAGCTTGCCTCTTCGAAATTCCACCTGGCCTACGGGCGCTTTGAGATTGAGTGAGAGGAAGAAGGTTCATGAGGAATAACTGCAAGACCTCATATTGAGTATTTGTGTGATTTCATTTAGGTGAAGGGAAAACAAACAGGAAAAGAAAATCAGTAAGAATGGAGCTGTAAAAACAACCCTTTTAAAGTAGAAGAAAATTAATTTGAAAAATATTTGTAGTTGTAGTAAAAGCTGATTCTCCAGTGCAATAAGACATATGATGGTGATAAATAAGTAAAAGGATACAAGAAAAAATGGCGTGGGAGTTGAATGGTTAGAAAAGCATAGAAACATCTGGAAAATATATTAAATCTATGGAAAAAAATGTTTAGTTTGTTTTTCATTTAAAAATGTTTTCTCTGTATTCATTTCTAGTTTTCAAAAGAGACGTTTCTATGAAGGTCTGCACTAACTTAATATACTTTGATGAACGAAATCATTTATCATATGTATTTTAACAGTGATATCGTTCACTAGCGTTAGCATATGAGCTGTTGTTTCTTTCTGATGCATTTGCGTATTGCCAACCAAAACAACTAGTATGTATTCGAGCTAAGATAAAAGCCATGGTTTCAAATGCTGTTCCTATTAATGAGAATTTGATAATTCATAATACTGCCACTATTAATTACGTTTTGACTCTAGACAAACCAGATACAAATACACAACGTCATTGAAATTCCAAAAGTCACGTACATCGAATATTTTTGCGGTGAAGGACGCTTGCGTAAGAAATTGCATGTCACGTGCGAAAATCTGATTCGATGCGACGCCTGCATAAACGACTGTTGAGTCAAATTTGGCTCAGTGCTTCTACGCCAGACGTACTTCTATCATCTGCTGGTTATTCCATTGTTTCGTGATTTATAAAATTGTTCAAATCGTGTAACAGCATAATTGTCCATCCCACAAAAAAATGTTTATTATCTAGAAAACACTAAACTAATTGAGTTTCTTTTTTCCATGTTTTTAGATAAGACGTTTAACCATGTTGACACTATCGTAAGAATCACTGTAAATCCCTCTGATTTATTCAACAAGAAATGAACAGGTTAAAATTGTTTTGTGTCAAATCCCTAACGAGCAAAGATGAGAGGAAAAAGATCATTCAGAGCATCAGTAATAGTACCAGCGTTCATACTCTGGCTTCCATCTTCAAATCCATTCAAGAACCATCCCGAGAACGGTGAATGAATTTAAAACGAAGGAACAATAGAGAGGAAAACTGTATCAGGTCACAACAAAAAGAGGGACCATCATTTCATCTTAGAGCTAAAAAGATCAGTTATAAAAAAAACTCAATCCATAAGACGTTTAGCACGTAAGAGAAGAGTTTCAGCTATGACAGATCAAAGAGTAGTGAAAAAAGAATTGAAAATGAAATCGTACGTGAAAACTGTGAGGCAACTTGTTACTCCAGGACAGAAAGTTAGAAGGTCAGAGAGGGCGAAGATCATCTAGAATAAGTCAGAAAATGACCCCCCCACATATATATATATATATATATATATATGTGTGTGTGTGTGTGTGTGTGTTTTGTGTGTGTGTGTGTGTGTATCAGGTCACAATAAAAAAGAGGGACCATCATTTCATCTTAGAACTAAAAAGGATTGAGATTAATTTCAAACACACACACACAACACACACACACACATATATATATATGTGTGTGTGTGTGTGTGTGTGTGTGTGTGTGTGTGTGTGTGTCTTTGAAATTAATCTCAATCCTTCATGAGCTACCGATTCCTCTGGGAAGCTTATGCTTGCTCAAAGTAGAGTCCAACTGTGTTACAAAAATCTCAGAAAATTCCAGTAAGATATGTTTAATCATTTCTAAGATACAACGGTTCAAAGCTTAATCTAACAATTGGGACAGTTTTGCTGATACACGATTTGGGCAATTTTGCTGTTACACTCGGTTATTAACACAACGGTTGTCTATAACAATGATGCTTCTTTACAAATAATCAATATCGTAATAATTTTATGATCTGTCCTTGCCCATTCTGTGCATTATTTTATTATTATCAGTCAGTTATGTGCCATGCGTGATACACGCTTAGGCGATTCTATATCTTTCGATACATGACTGACGAGTCAGATTTTTTTTTCTCGCAGTAGATTGCCATTTCTTTCTACTGTAGAATAGTTGCTATCTAAAGCTATAGAACGCAGACTGTCCCAATATTTGCCCACAGCTAGGTGGGGGGGGAAGAAGAGGATTCATACCTTTCCCAAGGCTAATAGCACGTAAGTGAATGTAATGAATTTGACAAGGATTTGAACCCAAGAAATAAACTGTAATATTATCGTTATTCATTATATAAAGTCCACAAGAGAAATCCTAATGAGCTTACTATTAGTAATTCGTATTGGATTATATCGTTACAGTATTTGTTTTGTTTTTTTTGTTTTTTTGTTTTTTTCTAAGCATTTCACCCCAAGCAAGGCGGGAAGCCACTAGGACGCAAGGGGTTACAGAAAATAGCAAGATCAGATAGGAGTGATAGAAGAAAGGATGAGGGTAGTGGATAGATTAAGGCAACTGGAGATGTCGATTGACATTACATTTGAATAGCTGGAGATTATAGCTCACAGGGAAACAGGAGAAGGGAAGAGAGTTTCACAGGCGAGAGGTGCGAGACATGAAGCTATTAGAGTAGAAGAGACGGCTACATTTAAGAGTTTCGACAGTGAAGGGGTGAGAGCGGGATGCCAGCCTCGTGGGGCGCTGGAACTGGAACTCATGACGTCTGGAAACCAGCGAATGCAGCTCCTGGGAGCAATTTCCATGAAAGTATTTGTAGAACAGACAGAGGGAGGCGACGGCGCGTCTGTGAGAAAGTGACTGTAGACGAGACGCCAGGACAGGACCAACCATATTGCATATCCGCTTCTGGAGCCTATCAAGAACTCCGAGGCAAATAAAAGGTGTTTCTCTCTCTCTCTCTTACTCCCTTCTATTCTTTTCTCTCTCTCTCTCTCTCTCTCTCTCTCTTTCACTCCCTTCTATTCTTTGTTGAAATCTTTTATTTTAAAACTGGATGTTTAAATAAAATATACCATATTGAAACTTCTTTTACGTGCCGTGTCGCTTCTAGTTGTAAGCGGTCATGACACATCACAGAGTTCTATTCTTTGTAGCTCTTAGCAAGGTATGCTTATTTGCTGCACTGTCCACTTCCTCATCTGATATCAGTTTATATAGTCTTCTTAGGTATATATGCCTCTCTATTTCTTTATACACTATTTTTACTTCAGTGTCCTGCTAATCTGAAAATAGCATTTTTCCTCATTGTGCCCCATAGAAATTTCATGTGTCACTTTTTGATTCGAAAGAAAAGTCTCCTCTCTATTTCCATTTTCTTTACTCCCCTCCTTGCTCACATATTTCGTCTATTGTTTTGTCAGAATCATTCTCTATGACCATATCTCTGTTGCCTTGAGTATTTTCTTCTTTTTATTTATTTTATACCAATGAAGACTCGAAGATGTTAACTTTGTGTGAAATAATATGAGAAAAACAAACAAATATCATTAAGAAGTAAAAAAATAAAAGAAGACATTACATTTAAATTTTGGAAAAGCCAAAAAGAGAGTTCCACCAGCAAGAAGTGCGAGATAAGAAACTGTTAGCATAGAACTTACGGTTACATCTAACAATTCCAATTGTAAATTCATGATAACTAGTTGTCAATCTAATACTGCTCTTAAATTCGATGTGTCAGAATAATTACTGTAATATATTTATAGAAATTACTTGAATATATTTATAGAAAAGGACAGGAAAACAACGTTAAGGAGGTGGGAAACTGACTAAAGCTGAGATGCCGTATAATGGACAATTGCGTTACATGTTTTTCTTTGTATTTTATTAATAATCTCGAAATATATAGCAGGAGCTGCAGACCAAATGTGTCAGCAATATTTAATCCATCGACAGATAGTTGATTTATGATTTTCTTTTTATTATTCTGGCGAGTCAAATTGTCTAGCATGATAAAGTGAACCAAATTTCATAGCAGCAGATAAAGCAGTTGATTAAATATAACCATGACATTTTATATCAGCGGAAAACGTCAGCCCGTGATGGCATCATGAGTCACTTTCCTGGGGGTTAGCATCAGCCATACTGAAAGAAGACAAAAATTGTCTCTAAGACGATTAAAATAAAAAGTACACCCTTGTGCAAATTAATTGAAACAACCGCTTTCGTTTTCCTTTCTTTCACCATACAGCCAATGGAGTGACAAGGTGCGATCGATTTCTATTTTTTCATCGGATTAGGTCATTTGCAGTGGTATCCCTTAATATGAATCTATTTTCGGGGTGTATGATGAAATTTGTTTGGCCTTGAAAAATATTGCGTCATCCGTAAATGCATCAGATTTTTATCATGCCCAAACACTATTGTCTCAACTGTCGATTAGTTGTCCAACGGACACACTGGCAAGTCTTACCAGTGAGCAAACCAAGTACTATAGACTGGCACGGAAACTCTCCTGATTTAAATCCAATCGAGAATCTGTGGTCAATCTGCAAGGAACGACTTCGTGGAATGGACATACGGAATGCTAACATGTCCACTGTGTCATATTTCATTGGAAAATACGAAAAAAAGGCAAATAATAACGAAATTATTCTTTTTCTTTCAATGAATTTGCACAAGGTTGTAGTTTCGTTTTGCAGATGTTAATATTAAAAAGCCATTTTTTTGTCCCAAGGAAGAAATTTTCGAATATTTATTGCCATATAGGAAGACATAGGAAGGATATTATATTCTTTGTTTCTAAGTAATTATTTCTTTTTCTTAATACTTTGCTTAGCTTATGAAAATCATATTTCGCTAATCCAATGGGCATTCGGATTTTGCTGTCACATTATATCATTTCGAAATTTGAAAAACCTATCTACTTAAGGTTTCTGCTAAAAGACTGTAAAGAAGAATATCAAGAAACTCGGCGAATTTTATTAATATTATTAATGTTAGATTTATATTTACTTTTTTTTATTTTATATCTCACCTCGACATGGAAAGGTTATTTCGGTTTTGTGTGATTAATGTTCTGTTGTTATATTGATATTTAGATACATGCGACGAAAAGACCGTCTACTACTAGCAGTAGTTTCTTTACTGAGAATTTCTCCCACGTTTTATAATATTCCCTGTTCTCTTTCATAAGACAATCAGATAAAGACTTGTAATAATAATTGCACAAAACTAAAACAAGCTTTCCATATAGTGATTTAGATGTTAACTTTTAGGAGTCTATAGCTGTATGACTAACACGCGTTCAGTCGAATAAGTATAGGTGATGGGATTAAACATGCATCGAATCCAACAAATCGGGATTTGGAAATAAAACGAAATGAAACTGTTATATTAAACATAGATGTGCGTGTAATTTATGGGTTATCGTATTGGGAAGAGAAATCGTCTGAGTTCGTTACGTGGACTTTTTCTCCCAAATACTCTTTGAAAAGGTATTTGTCCATCTGTATTAATCTAGTTAAATACCAGGTCAGATGGGAGCTCGCTATCCTTCGTTTGCAACAAGTTTTGGAGTAGGATACCTCTGATTTCATAATTGTGGAGGGTCGTTTGAGATTCGTAGCAAATTATCCACCAGTTTCTGGGTTGGTGACAAGGGGATGCCTGAGGTATCTCTCTAAGGGAGGGGGCGGATTTTTGATGTATAATAAATATGCTCTGTTATAATAAATACACTGAGTAATCTCTTTGGATCTGTTTAAATATTTGATATTACTAGGAGCCACCTGGATATTATACCAACGTATCTATTACTATTATATATATATATATATATATATATATATATATATATATATATATATATATATATATATATATATATATATACGCCCCTGAAAAATAAAATTCGGTGCATTTTAAAAAGGAAAAGCAGTGACTGCTCCTGCTGCAAAAAATCACCTTAGTCTCTAGCTCAGGACTGTTGGCAAATCGGTGTGGTTTCGACCCTGGCTTGAGGCAATCAGATGTCTGGCCACACTGATGAGTTATGATACAGCGAAACAGTCTGTCTTTGGATGATATATGTATGTATGTATAACTTTAATAACTTCACCCCGAGCAAGAGGCCTCTGGTATGGAAAGAGAACTTTAAAAGGAATCTGGAACATGTGTAGGATGGAATAAGACCCGGATGGCAGGCGAACCTATCTGCTTTCTTTTATTTATTTATTTTATATATATATATATATATATATATATATATATATATATATATATATATATATATATATATATATATATATTATTAAATTTAGATGTAAATGAAATATATCTGTAAGAATAGGCAAAAGGAAACCTTCTTTATACCAAGGGAATACGTCAATGCAAATTTGCCTTGATTAATTTCCTCGGGCAACGAAAGGCGTTGTTACCAATGCATTTCGTTCCCTGACGTTATATATATATATATATGTTTCGTCATTTATGTGAATTCAATTGCAGCAGATTTACTTTTTAAGATGTTTTAATATAATCTAGTATATAAATGCCTTATTAATACACAAAAACAAAACTAAACTCTATTTCCATATAAGCTAATGGAAATCTAATCAACACACACATGCATCATTATGTTTGTAGTTATGTTGTATTTGCATGTTTTAGAAGTGATCAAATGCATAAAACCAAGCAATCAAACTAACAGAAAATAGAATATAGACTTTTGCTCTCGTACGTACACAAAAACATATATATAGGAATCCCTCGATTAGTGCAACAGCATCTGTACGTCGGTACCTATAAAAAATCCATTCTTAATTGCTATTGTTAAAATGAAGAATTTTACCGGACTTATCGATTATTATATATGCACTAAATCAAATTTTAATGTATTAAAATTTTAGCGCACTAATCAAAAACGCATTCATCGAAGGACTGCTGTATATTTTTGACGTTAGTGTTTTTGCATTTTAAGTGAGAGTGTGTTTGAATTCAAACAATGTGATGCTTTAGTAACTTATCCTTAGACTTCAAATAACACAGAGAAATAATCAAGTCAATGTATTAAGATTAACATAATAGACTTTTGTGGACATTCAAAATAAATAGTATTACATTCTAATTAGAAAAAGACGTTTGTATAAAACAATACAAAAATAACATATATTTCTTCTTACTATTAGAGAATATGTTATTAAATAGAGATTTGATTGTAAAATAAGTATTAATGTCTGTATGAAATTAATACATTATATGAGCGAATTCGATTTCTAATAAGTGTCAAGCACGAGGCAATCCTCAGACATACATTTTAAAATCTCAATTTTTTTTATTCATTCATATAATTTCTTCTGTTTTACATTCGGCAATAATTTTTGCTCTTGTCAATCGCTGTATTACATAGAAACATATGTGTGTATATTTTACACTGCCCCTCATTATGTATAAGAGCAGCAGTCCCTCTTTAATACAGGTTTCAATAGAGCTGACTGACAAAGTACTACGGTTAATTTTTAATATTTTTTCTTGAATGGGTATATATATATATATATATATATATATATATATATATATATATATATATATATATGTCCAACACTTTTCCGAATCCTCTGCACTGTCCTCAGATTGGCACCCAAACACTTTGAAATGTTCGTCATAGTGCTCTTTTTTTCTCACAGAGGGCGCTCAACTGGCTCTACTATAATGTGCCGTGGACAAAATCAAAAACAAACAATGCGCATGCGCGAAATTTAAAATGCTGACAATTTACCCATCGCACGCTCTCCCTGTCTCTCTCTCTTTATATATATATATATATATATATTTGACGTAATACATATATATATATATATATATATATATATATATATATATATGTGTGTGTGTGTGTGTGTGTGTGTGTGTGGAATTGGATACCTATACTTTGAATTGTACATCCATCGACTTTAAAATTAAATCTATATCAAAATTTGTTTTTTATGTGCGATGTAGATAGATAACTAGCTAGCAGGCTCCTTGAATATGAAATAGTATGATTCACACATAAAATATGACCAAAGATCGTTATTTTGAGAAAAATCTCTTGCTCGTGTTGAAAAATGGCCGCCTCCACTCAACTGTTCTTTACGTAAAATCATCCACTTTATGGAATAATTTAAACGGTAACAAATGGGATACAGTTTCATTAAGAAAAACGAAGAAATAAATTAGAATTTTTGCTGAAATTTCTCAAAGGTCTCGTCCTCTCTTGTTTTAAAGTGTGAATGAAAAAAAAAAAATCAGATCCAAATGACTGTCAGTTGCTGGAGGGCTTTCCTTCAGTGGACCAAATGTCACAGATGAGCTGTGCACCCTGCTGGCAGATGTCATGAATGAAAAGGGAAATTAGGTTTTAGGCTGAAGATGATATTTGATTGCAATTTTGCTTTTTCTAAAAGTTATTTTCAGTAAAAATATCTAAGCTTCCATTGTACGCTTTCTTTCATTCTCCTTCTGTCTATTCGTTTCATTCTCTGGATTATCTATTATTAATATTTTCTTCTCAGTATTTCGTTTAACTCTTTTGCTTTCTTGTTTAACGATTGATTTCCCTTTTTCCCATTCCATTCATATTTTCTTTCTCTGTCTTTTTCTTTTTTCTCTCTATTTTTTCTCTTTGTCTTTTTCTTTTTTTCTTTTTTCTCTTTGTCTCTTTCTTTCTCTTTCGCTTTCCTTTCTTCTGTCTCTTTATTTCTTTTTCTCTTTCTTTCTTCTATGTCATTCTTCTCTTTTTCGCTTCCTTTCTCTTTTTCGCTTTCTTTTTTTTCTTTCTCTTTCATTTTCTTTTCCTCTTCCTTTCTCCTTTTCTTTCTTTCTTCTGTCTTTCTTTTTCTTTTTATCTTTCTTTCTTCTTTATCGTTCTTCTCTATGCCTCTTTCTTTCTGTTTTCTATTTCTTTCTATTTTTCTCTTTCTATCACACCCTATTTATATCACTCTCTCTATATATATCTTTGTATATCTTTCTATCAATCTCTCTTTCTATATCTCTATATCCCTCTCTCTTTCTGTGTCTTTCCAACACTCTTTTTCTATATCATTCTTTATCCCTTTTTCTCTATCACTCTCTCAGTATATCAGTCACTCTATATATTTCAATATCTATTCCCATCTTCTGCTCTCTATTTTTTTGATTTCATTCTATTTCTTTTTTCTTTCTTATATTAATATATCTCTTACTAAATATTTCTGTCTTATTTTAAACACATGTATTAGTATAATTTTCCATTCAATTTATTTTTTCTTTCGTTTTTCGTTTTTCGTTTTATCATTTCTCCGTTCCTTTTTTTGAAAATATTTCTCCTAACGATGTTACTTGAAATGCTAATTATAACATTGTTTATTTTTCTGTTAACATCGCCTTCCACAGACTTTAGCGCTGCCTTTTTTTTATATTCTTAAAATATTCTTTTATTCTCAAGTTCTGCTGCCATCGATATGCTAAACTTCCAATGCTCTCATGAGCAAAAACTTCAAAAAACATAGCGCCATTATCAAAGAAAGCCTCAAGCGTAATCTTCAGTATTGAGAAAATGCTGAGTTACGCGCTTTCCAACCGCCATCATTTTGGCCCAAGGTAAAATTTATAGAATTTTTCTTTAGACTTTATTTAATACTTAATCTGCCAATAAAAATTGCATTTCGATTTATTTTCCTCTCTAAGGAATATTTTCTTCATTATGAAACAATTTGGCTGTTTACACCATGAATTTCATTCATTGTAAATCAATTAGTAGCATGAATAAAGTTATAAAGTTTAAGGGTATTGTATTTTGAAACGAAATTGCTTCTTTTTCTCTCATCATGCATACATACATGCGTACATTTCACTCTCTCTCTCTCTCTCTCTCTCTATATATATATATATATATATATATATATATATATATATATATAAACATGTTTGTTATATATATATATATATATATATATATATATATATATATATATATATATATATATAATTATTTATTTAAAATCGCGTTTTGGAATCATATTTTTAAATAAATAATTATATTTATGCTCTACTTTTGTATCGAGCACTATGTTTTAAAAATAATAACTAAAATACTAAGGGACTTTGGATTATTTACCTAACCAGTTCCTTCCTATTTTCTATATATTTTCACACACACACACACACACACACACACACACACATATATATATATATATATATATATATATATATATATATATATATATATATATATATATATATATATATATATATATATATATATATATATATATATATATACATATATATATATGGAGAAGTACGGTGTGCTATATTTATGGGATAAAGTGTTAAATATCAGAGATAGAGCGTATGTAAATATAAAATATATGGATATATGTATGGATATGTGTTTGTGACCCTGGGTTTCACGCTTTTACGATCATCAGTAGATGTGTATCTGAGACTAGCCTCGGATTGTTGATATGCTGTGTTTGAAATTTATATAGTGCAATAATGTTCAATTGTGTAATTACAACCATACAACCATACAACTAAATCCTCTATAAAAGGCCAATGTAGAGTATGAATTTACATAACCATTCATGCCCGTATCTGATATTAGTAATAAACCCACTAGATATATTCGTTTTACTGCAACCACGCTCTACCGTATTTACCTGTCACCTTTCTGATCTTATTTCTATTAAACAACATTTCTTAGGAAAATATTGCCATGTACATAATATTAGAAAGATATTAGTTGATAACACAACAATACTCCTACATCCACACACTAAAAAGAACCTTCAGATATTAGAGGCTATATACACTAAAACAAAGAAACCAACACTCAAAAAAATTAGATTTCAAACTAGTAAGTATGTGTGTAACAGCAAAATTGTCCAATTGTTAATCTTTGAACCGTTGTATCTTAGAAATGATTAAAGATATCTTACTGGAATTCCCCGAGGTTTGTATGACACTATTGGTCTCTATTTCTAACAATAATAATGTATTTGGCCCTAAATTGAAATGATGATCCCTCTTCCTGTTGTGACCTGATACAATTTTCCTCTCTACTGTTCCTTTTTGTTTTTTTTTAAAGATATTCACCGTTCTCTTAATGGTGTTTGAATGGGCTTTGAGGATGGAAGCCAGCGTATGAATTTAGGTACCATTACTTAAGCCCTGATTGAACTTTTTCTTCTCACCATTGCTCAGGTTAGAAGACAGTGGGGCTGACACAAATCGATTGCAACCTGATCTTTTTTCAAGCTGAATAACATTCAAGGTTTTTCAGTGATTCTTACGACAGATGATATCAAAATGGCTCAAACTCTTATCTGAAAACCTGGGAAAAAGAAATTCAATTTGTTCAGAGATTTTCTTAGATAGTACATATATTATGTGATGCACAATCTTGCTGATACACACAGTATACATACATACATACACACACACACACACACACACACACATATATATATATATATATATATAATTCAATTATATATACATTTCACTACCGTAGACGATCACGTATCTCCAGATATTTTCTCCAGCATCTGGAAATTACGATTTATTCTTCAGAAATACGGAGGATTATCTACAGTCTTCCTTGTCAGCCTGTTTGCTAACTCATCTGGAAGGCCAAACTATCCTGCTAATTAATTGATAATGTTTACTAAGGATCAGTCAGTAATTTGAACTCGGCTCGCCGATTCCACTTTCTGCGTCAATATCCATTACACTACCAACACATTATGTTCTATACTCAACTATATTCATATATTCTTGTATGCATTGATGAACCATGTTGTATTGATGGTAAACTCAATTAAATGTCACTTGTTCTCGCCTGATCCCAGTGTTGAACTTGCTTTGGTTAGCTTTCAATGGTTTATTTCATACCGACAAGATTTTTATTGCTGATAACTTTTTTTTTCAAATATATTTTTCTGGTAATAATTTTTCCCCAAAATGTAATAATTATTTTCTTCAAAATTCATATTGATGGTATTAAAATCTATTTTTACATTTTCATACTGTTTTAACCCCAGTTTGGGGGTTAACTATTTGCCCATATCTGGGACCCTAACAGGTTCTACCATCCGGATCAGAGTGGATGTAGGAACACCAGCAATCAAGAAGTGGTTCCACGCCCATCAAAACTTTCTTATCGGAGGCCTTGCTGCCAGGTGTAGTTTATCGTCTTACCCAAGACTGGTTGACATTGTCTAGTCCAATTACGGATTAGATCATTACCAGAGACGACAAGCACTGTGAGGTTATTTGTTCTTAATAATTAATGCAAAATAATTATGTAAGTAAATTCATCTATTGTGATGAGGTTTATTGACAGTAATATGATGTATGAGCTGATGTAGATTTTGAACTTAAAAAAATCTTGCAGGTCGATATATTTTTTTGAAAAAGAGGTAACTGTTGATTTGATATTAAATTTCTTCGGGGCAAGCTCATCTTCATATTGGGAACTTCGCTTATTCTAATAAAAATATAATTATCATATTTCAGTGCTACTTCAACTGGAATGTTTATCTGAAGACATCGATAATAATTAGATTTCCGATGTATAATTTAATCTTTTGTGTACCTCAAACAGGTAGTGAAAATTTCTAAAATAATTATTTTTCTTAAGAATTTAAATTATTTTAATATGAGCATACATGAAAAAAAAATATTTTCTTATTGATACACCCAAGAAACCTAAATATATATTTGATAGTTATTTACAGTTATTTCTTCAGTAGATCATCTAAACTATAAAAACAAGATTCCATTGCGTGTTATATGAGAATTAATTTCTTATCTTTTGATTATGTGCGGTTTTTGTAAACATTTTTATTGTGCTATATTTGTCGATACGATAGATTAAGTTTTGTACACGATTTATTTTATACGAAAAATGCTGTTTTGTATGTGACGTGCAGAGGTATGGATATGCATTTCTGTCAATTATGAATGTTAATATTTGAGTGAACAGGAGAAAATTATGAAAAAAAAGATCAATTTGTCTTTTTAATTGGAAAAAAAAAATTCAGAAAAATTTACAAATGAATCATTATATTTAATCCACTATTATTCGCATCAATATAAACATATTCGTTGGTTTTATTAACTTATTTAGTACGATGTATTCTTCGGCCTGCGTCAGATATAAGGCAAGAATGTTATCCTCAGCAGATTACCTGTATATCTGTTTCAAAAATTTCTCCAAGAAGCTTAAGATAGGCTTACAATATCCGTAATATAGTGATAAAAAAAAAGAATATTACTCGGAATAATTCATGAATTAAAATACATTTAATTTGATATGCATAAAACCATTGCCTTCATTCAAGGTCGTCTTCTAGGAGGTCTCGTTTTTCTTGAGAATAAGGCATCTAGCCAGAATTCAAGTCACATTATTGCTCCATTTAAGAATCTAGCATACCGTTTAAGTTCCCTCTTTTATATATATATATATATATATATATATATATATATATATATATATATATATATATATATTTGTCGTTATCACCCCATGCAAGAAAGTAAAGCCACTAAAACACAAGGGGTTACAAGGTGTAGAAGTATTAGGAAATAAAACATTGATATTGAGCAGAAAGAGTAATCTAGAGAGAGTAGATAGCGATTGGCATTGCCTTTACATTTTTGAGGATTAAAGATAGCTGGAAAGCTGGAGCCGGCACAACCGTAAGTTGATGAAATATTGACATCAGTCTAGTACTACGCTTAAATTTAAAAAGTCTAGGTGCCATAGCAAAGAGCTCATCCGAACAATTACCATGAAAGTATTTATAGGGAAAACACAGAGGCAACATTGCGGCGTTGGGTAGTAATTGAAGCCGGGCCGCCAGATTATAGTCAGGTGTGACATTCCTCTACAGGATACAGACCCAAACACATTCGAAATTATGCAAGCCGAATTTACGTATTCTCACAAATATTTAACTTAATTTTTCCACAAAAAATCACCAATAAACAACTTAGTTATTCGATTAATGAAGGAATAGGAACACACACAAGGCTCTTGAATTAAAAAAAAAATCCACACACTTTTAAAAACGTGAACAAAACAATCATTTTTCAGTTAAATAATAGTTTAGAAGACCTATTTTTTAGTGTAAGTGTATCTTGGCTCTG